CAGTTTTCTAAAATATCGGTTGATATTTAGGCGCTCACTGTGGCCATGTTGGGGAATATGCAGGCAATGTGTACAGGTGTAGGCGTGATGATAGGGAGGTGATGGAGGCGTGATGATAGGGAGATGATGGAGGCGTGATGATAGGGAGATGATGGAGGCGTGATGATAGGGAGATGATGGAGGTGTGATGATAGGGAGGTGATGGAGGCGTGATGATAGGGAAGTGATGGAGGCGTGATGATAGGGAGGTGATGGAGGCGTGTTGATAGGGAAGTGATGGAGGCGTGATGATAGGAAGTGATGGAGGCGTGATGATAGGGAGGTGATGGAAGGAAGTGATGGAGGCGTGATGATAGGGAGGTGATGGAGGCGAAAATGATAGGATGGAGGATGGAGGTGTGATGATAGGAAGTGGATGGAGGCGTGATGATAGGGAGGTGATGGAGGCGTGATGATAGGAGGTGATGGAGGCGTGATGATAGGGAGGTGATGGAGGCGTGATGATATGGAGGTGATGGAGGCGTGATGATAGGGAAGTGATGGAGGCGTGATGATAGGGAGGTGATGGAGGCGTGATGATAGGGAAGTGATGGAGGCGTGATGATAGGGAGGTGATGGAGGCGTGATGATAGGGAAGTGATGGAGGCGTGATGATAGGAGGTGATGATAGGGGAGGAAGTGATGGAGGCGTGATGATAGGGAAGTGATGGAGGTGATGATAGGGAGGTGATGGAGGCGTGATGATAGGCAGGTGATGGAGGCGTGATGATAGGAGGTGATGGAGGCGGATGATAGGAGGTGATGAGGCGTGTTGATAGGAAGGATGGAGGCGTGATGATAGGGAGGTGATGGAGGCGTGATGATAGGGAGGTGATGGAGGCGTGATGATAGGAGATGATGGAGGCGTGATGATAGGGGTGATGGAGGCGTGATGATAGGGAGGTGATGAGGCGTGATGATAGGGAAGTGATGGAGGTGATGATAGGAAGTGATGGAGGCGTGATGATAGGGAGGTGATGGAGGTGATGATGATAAAGAGGTGGAGAGGCGTGATGATATGGAGGTGATGGGAGTGATGATAGGAGATGATGGAGGCGTGATGATGGGAAGTGATGGAGGCGTGATGATAGGAAAGTGATGGAGGCGTGATGATAGGGAGGTGATGAGGCGTGATGATAGGGAGGTGATGGAGGCGTGATGATAGGGAGGTGATGGAGGCGTGATGATAGGGAGGTGATGAGGTGTGATGATGGGAGGGTGATGGAGGGTGATGATAGGGAAGTGATGGAGGCGTGATGATAGGAGGTGATGGAGGCGTGATGATAGGAGGTGATGGAGGCGATGATAGGGAAGTGATGGAGGCGTGATGATAGGGAGGTGATGGAGGCGTGATGATAGGGTGATGGAGGCGGATGATGGAGATGGAGGTGATGATAGAGGTGATGGGAGCGTGATGATAGGGGAGATGATGGAGGCGTGATGATAGGAAGTGATGGCGGCGTGATGATAGGGAGTGATGGAGGCGTGATGATAGGGAGTGATGGAGGCGTGATGATAGGGAGGTGATGGAGGCGTGATGATAGGGAGGTGATGGAGGCGTGATGATAGGGAAGTGATGGAGGCGTGATGATAGGGAGGTGATGGAGGCGTGATGATAGGGAGGTGATGGAGGCGTGATGATAGGGAAGTGATGGAGGCGTGATGATAGAGGTGATGGAGATGATGGAGGTGATGGAGGCGTGATGATAGGGAGGTGATGGAGGCGTGATGATAGGGAGGTGATGGAGGCGTGATGATAGGGAGAGTGATGGAGGCGTGATGATAGGGAGGTGATGGAGGCGTGATGATAGGGAAGTGATGGAGGCGTGATGATATGGAGGTGATGGAGGCGTGATGATATGGAAGTGATGGAGGCGTGATGATATGGAGGTGATGGAGGCGTGATGATATGGAGGTGATGGAGGCGTGATGATATGGAGGTGATAGCAGGAAGAAGGTGATGTTCAGGTGATGATGGGGAGTTTTTGCTGGGAAGGTGATGGGAAGGCTGATCGAACGCTTCTCGTGAAGACATAACACTTCATACACCAGGCTTTATCACCTCCCCTTAAGGCTCTGACAGAAAACATAGAGTGCATAATACCTGAGAGGTGAAAAGCTGAATGTCAAAAACATCTCAAGAACGGAGCCAAAAAAGGTGGATTTCAGTCTCATTGAAATTTACGAAAACAAAATATGCCCCATGCACTAGTTGCCAAGGTTACTTTGCCCTGGCCACAAACAAATTACCAATACTCTTTTCAATACTTAAATAGTTGGATGTCAAGACATTTCTTTCATTCAATTTCAAATTCAAATTTCCGTTACTGCGTTGTAAGACATCCTGACTGCCCAAGGGTCCGGAGCAAGTGTCAAGCATCTCTGCACAAGCTCTCGCTGCATCCTCTTCAGCTGCATCATCTGACAGAGTGGCGCAAAAACAAAATACTTTGTGTTTTTTATTTTCCTACCCTCAAGGCGGTAATTGTCAGGTGAACATAAGAATTACCGTTGTCTTACGCGTCATGATTTTGAAAAAGTATGTTTTGTGTGACTGTCAACGATGTGAGATATACATAGAGATTTTTTCTGGGTTACATCTTCTTTTTATTCTCGAGTACAACGTTTCAGGGCTTGTTCTGACCCCATCATCAGGTAAACTGAACAGTAACTGTTAACTCTGGCCGTGACGTCACAATGCTTATGACGTCACAATGCTATGACGACGCAATACATGTGGTGGTCAATAGATACAGATGACATGGCTAATAGAATACATGTTATTATGAATATATAAGATGTCATTTACTGCAAAATTAATGGATCAATTCCTCGTCACTGTTCCCATGTATAAAGCATAATTTCTTTGTATACACTGCTATTACTTTACATTCTATACATTTATAAATACGTCTCTGTACATTTCTAATTCAATCAACAATTTTGTATAAGTATCTGCACAGTTCTAAATTGATCTATTAATTTTGCAGTAAATAAATATAATAGAATTAATTATTTACAAAACTACCTGTATAATTAATCAGGACAGTTTTGTAAAATATTTGAAATATGTTTGAAGCAGTGAAATATTTACCGGTTTCAATGTCTGATATTTCACATTTAACGGGCGCTTCATTTCATTACGTTTGGACCATCATACGTGTCCGCTTCACTGGGAAACGGTAAGTCAGGATAGTTAAACTCCTGGATAAGACGTATTTATATCATGAACACAATATTAAGATCAGAGACGAGATACTTGATGCACATTCTTAAAACCTGAGTTCTAGGAATAATAAGACCTGTAGAGTTACCTCCCTTGGAACACGCATCCCTCCATGCATTGACAACAATGCTGTCAAAATATATGAAGAACTGATACACCATGTTTGCTTTTGATATTAAATCTTAGTTTTTATTCAATATTCTGTGGTACTTTATTGCTGAGGTCAACAAGAATATCAAACCTGGTCCATGTCCTACAGAAGATTAAACGTAAAGACGTCAGCATTATAGGAATTCTTCTGATTGGAATGAATTCCCGGAAAAAGAATAAAATCCATTGCTTCGAAATTCGCATCAGCTACCCTGCAAATAACATTTAAAACAAGATTGAAACTGATGAATGATATGAAAATGAGAATATTTATCATCCAGTGAGAAACTCACAATCTATATTTCTTCAACCATTGTTCGTCCACACAACACGCGGCCATGGTTTGTGAGGACGTGTGTGCTGATGTATAGATCGCGGTGACAGCTGGAGGTGCGTGGCGTCCAGCGTGGCGTCCGCCTCCGTCATTGTTGTCTGGATACCAGCTGTGAGTGAATAAATGAGTGAGTATGGTTTTACGCCGCTTTTAGCAATATTCCAGCAATATCAAGAAGGAGGACACCAGAAATAAGTTTACACATTGCACCCATGGGTGGAATCGAACCCGGGTCTTCGGCGTGACGAGCGAACTTTTCAACTATACTAGGCTACCTACCCCTACACCTGGGACTCTAGTAACTGCTGTGCTGTGCTGTGCTGTGCTGTGCTGTGTGTCAGTGAGAGGTTGTGTTGTGCGATTTTTCTCATTGTATTCTAATGTGTGGATATTTGATAATGAAAATAAGATTTGACATGTCCTTATTTAGACAAAATAATGACTGTGGTAATTGTTTACACCACTGTCAACAAATTTCGGCTATGCCGTGATGCTTTTCGAGTCAACCCTTCAAAACAGTGAGTGATTGATTGAGTGAGTGAGTAAGTTTAGTTTTACGCCGCACTCAGCAATATTCCAGCTATATGGCAGCGGTCTGTAAATAATCGAGTCTGGACCAGGCAATCCAGTGATCAACAGCATGAGCATCGATCTACGCAATTGGGAACCGATGACACGTGTCAACACCTCCGCGAGCCTGACCACCCGATCCCGTTAGTCGCCTCTTACGCCAAGCATGGGTTACTGAAGATCAATATTCTAACCCGGATCTTCACGGGTCTCATAACAGTAGTTGATAACACGAACAATGATCCAATAGAGGGGTGCCATGACACAATTACTAAATTACGCGCATTTACCCTCTTCAGTTTATCCACCTAGAAGGACCAGCGTTCTGGTCAGGGCCTGTTCTGACCCAAATACCTAACAATTAGGGATAAAGAGCTGAATAATAACAATTACATTAAGATATTACACCAACAAATTCTGTATTTTCCCGTTTCATTTTCCAGATTTGCGTGGCCAATTTCAATTTTCAGAAATAGTTTAACAGTGTTAAAATCAATAAATCCAATAAGCTACCAACGTTAGGTGCATAAATTACTATTGTTAGCCACCGGTCTTGCTTCAATATGAATGGGAATCGTACAGGTCTCTCTGTATTGAAAGGGGCTCAAGCCGCCTGGCGACACATGCGCACAACACGCATATTGACTTATCACAATGCAGTCAACTTTGCAAACTCCTTACAGCGCCCTTGATGTAAACTCCTGACGGCGCGTTATCAGTGGGAACCACGTCATTCACTGTCGTGGGGATTGTCCACATAAACACCGTAAAATCTTTCAAAATGGTGATGTGTAGATCGCCAGTTTCGCTTGTTGTTTTTATTTTATCTTTCAATTTTCTCAGTATACATGGAGTATGGGAGCTGGATAAAACTAACTTTGAAAAGGTAAGACAAGCATCTATCTTCATATTTGTCGGGTTATTTAACAAACCCACAGAGCTGTTTCCAAAAACGATATGACTGGAATAATTTGGAAACGTTTCACAAGGCAAACCGATAATACCTTTTTTCATGAAGAGCTATGTTAGTTTTAAAACAGAGTTATAGGAACGTTTCTATTCTGCTTACAATTTCCAGAAAACGTACTATTATATAGGTTTTCATATTAAAACTATCATTTCCTTTCATTATATGCCATCATATATCAAGTCACGTTCATAATGCTGTTATATGATTCATTTTCTCGTTTGTATTTTAAAAACATCGATGTTATCATAGAATGAAATCACCGTAGAAATGCAATTCTCCATTAGCGCACAGGTGACCTCGCTATAACGCGATGTAGACCGGCTCGACAACGTGGTGCTCATTGATTTCCGGCAACACGTGGTATGATGGGGTGAACTTGCACTGGCATTTGGATATCAATATTTGTAGCCCATATTTTTAGTCGATAGTTTTAAGGCTGATCATGAAATATTATTATTTCAGCATATTACCTGTGCGACCACCGTTGGACATTTTTAAATTAATAATTAAATGACGAATATCGTATTTAACAGCTATTTGCTCTGTGAAAATGTCATCTGTAGATCTATTATATTTCTTTGCACAGGGTACGGTATTTGTATGGTGATTTATCAATATACATAGATCTACAACAAATATGCATCGAATAGATAGAGAATCTCACCCACGTGTGTACTGATATTAATTATATCAACACTCGTTGATGAAAGTAAAATATATTTGTAACTTTATCAACTCGTGTTGATATATTTGGCATCAGAAGACATGAGGGTGAGATTCTATTTATCCAAAAATTCACTCTTCATTAGTTTTCAATGAAAAATGTACATCTCTGAACACGGTACTGCCACTATACTAGCAGTGCAGTGATGTCATAGCATTGTGACGTCATCAAGTTTATGACGTCATAGCACTGTGATGTATTTGATGACGTCAGGACAATGTACAAAATCTACTGTCAAAACGATATCTCACACAAACAATATGTCCAGTGGAACACAGTTTTAGAGATAAATTGTTTAGGACACGTGTATAAGAACTGACAGACTAACAACTAGTCTCTGATATGAACATATTTCACAGAAAAAAGCTCATAGTAAAAAAATAAAAAATAATGAAAAGGAGCCCTGAAGCTGTGGAAATCTAGACTTGCCACATTTTCTAGACTTGCGATCAGGAGAGTGCCCAGGTTCTCCACCGGGAGTACAGCCCTTCTGACACTCTTGGTAATGCAGAAAGCTGCAGTGTTGGGGAGTCTTCATATTCTCCGGAAAGTTCTTGGTGGGTTCGACTAGGCAGCGTTTCCTGGGAGAAGTCCTATTCGCTGTCTGGGCTGCGTGTAGAGGGGGCAAGGACCCTGAGCTGATGATGAGCCTTACCAGCCCGACTGTGCCAGGATCACCCGAACCTCTCTGCTGCATACTATCTTTAATCTGTAAAACATAATAATACTAATCCGAACGATTACAATAGGTCTCCTGCCTAGAGGCAAGGAGCCCTAATTAGCAGTAGTTTGTGTGTATGGTTTTACACGGCTTATAGCAATATTCCATCAATGTGGGGAACACCAGAAACGGGCTTCACACATAGCACAATCGAACCTTGGTCTTTGGCTTGACGAACGAACGCTTCAACCACTTGGTCACTTGGTAGTAGTAGTAGTAGTAGCAGCAGCAGCAGCAGCAGCAGTAGTAGTAGTAGTAGTAGTATCAGTAGTAATAGTAGCAACGTCATTACTGATGTTATTTATTCATATTTCAGTTTCGGGAAACGGCCTCTTTTCCCATCTACTTTGTCGACTCACCAGGTAAGTAGTTTAATATAATCCCAACAGCTATTCCAGAGGCGATGTTTGGTTGGCAAATGTACTGTGAGGTTGAAGATCATTCCATTCATGTGGCTGTCCTGTGGCAGAATAGTTTTGCATTTACGGCGAAATTGCGCCCCTAACATGGTTGAACAACATGCGCCCATGTGTTGAGAGAGATGATGTGAACGAGTGAGATTGATTCCTTTTTAAAACATATTCCACTTTTTTAACTGAACACAGTCTCTCGACGTTATGAAAGGACGCATCAATCACTTGCATACGCTACCACAAACGGGCCGTTATTGATGAATTACCTCCCTTGTTTCAGGATGCTCGCGCTGTCGAGTGCTGTATCCATTTTTCTTCGCCGCGTCTCAGATATTTAAAGACGACAGGGAAATCATCTTCGGACGGGTGCAGGACAAGACGTTGATACGGCAGTGGGGGATCGAGGAGCTCCCAGCCATATTCTTCCACGAGAAGGGGGAGAAGGAGGCAGAGAGGTGGGTGACAGCTGGGTGATGGCGGGTGACGTTTGAGACGCTGTGTTACTATTCGTCTCCTATTTAATCATACTGACACTTCTTTTATTGATAACCCGTGTAGATCCGGGTTAGAATTGGTATTCAGCAAGTTATGCATGTCGCATGAGGCATGTCGCAAGTGAACTATTTTATCTCACAATGTATTTTGTATTTTTCAAAATGTTCTTTGTGATTTCAGAATATCAGTCTTATCATACCTAAGTATAATGATCAAGTCTTGCTCTAATATGATTTCCATTCGATATTATACAATTATAGACTGGTGATGTGGTCATTGAGATTGATGCCAATCGTCCTCGGTCAATATTGCTTTAGCGGGTCCATAACAACAGGTATTGACCGAATTCACCAGTCCATAATTGTTTAATTATGCAATTACCGAAAAAAGCTTCTAAAAAACAAAACACGTCCATTTAGTCAAGGAAAGTAATTTTATTTTCACTACAAACCAATAACGTTGTCAACAATACTGTGATATGTAAACGATAGAATGACGTCATGACTTTTGGTCGGACCTGGGATGGAGACAATATGCTTTTCTGTTGACGGTCACGTGACCGCCTCTAGACCAGTCAGGTACCCGGAAAAACATGCCTACATAATAAAGTGATTTAATTGATCTTGAGATATCAATAATTCAATAATTCAATAGATCAATACATCAGTTTCCGGTTTGCAGTGTTTTGTGCATGTTTTGAATGTACCTTGCCTTTTAACAGACTGGAGGGCGACATCACCGTTGACAACATTGTCAACACTATTTCCTTAGCCATGCCCGGCTACATCGGGGACGTGAAACACCAACACGTTATCGAGATATCCGACAAGAACTACGACGAACTTGTCATCACACCGAAACAGAACGTCATATTACTCAACTATAATAACGGTATGAAACTGAGGTCATATGCACAACTATTGCAACGCAACTGTCGTAACGGCATGGCATCGTTCTCATACTATATACCCAGCTATCATATCTGTATGGGGTTATCATATTAATGTCATGCAATGATGAAACTGTCACAATTTAGATGTAATGATGTCATACTCTTGAACTGTAGGCCCGTGAAGATCCGGGGTAGAATAGGTCTTCAGCAACCCATGCTTGCCGTACAAGGCGACTATGCTTGTCGTGGTTAACGTAGACGGTGTATGCTACGTAACATGTGGTTAACGTAGACCGCCGCCATATAGCTGGGACATTGCTGAGTGCGGCGTAAAACTAAACTCACTCACTCTTGAACTGTAATAACGTTATGTAATGACATTGATGTTATCCGACTGAACTATGATATGTTCGCTTTATAATTATGATGCACATATTGGAATGGTGTAAATTAATGGTATTTTGGTACTTTGATGAAGTGAAGACTACGTATCTGCTACAAAACCTGTGACTAAGGTGGGCGGTGCATCCTACGTAATATATGATTAAGATGGTCGTGGCATACTATGTAACCTGTGGTTAACATAGACGGTGGATACTACGTAACCTGTGGTAAAGGTGGGCGGTGCCTTCTACGTAACCTCTGGTTAACGTAGACGGTGCATGCTACGTAAGCCGTGGTTAACGTAGACGGTGCATGCTACGTAACATGTGGTTAACGTAGATGGCGCGTGCTACGTAAGCCGTGGTTAACGTAGACGGTGCATGCTACGTAACATGTGGTTAACGTAGACGGTGCATGCTACGTAAGCCGTGGTTAACGTAGACGGTGCATGCTACGTAACATGTGGTTAACGTAGACGGTGCATGCTACGTAACATGTGGTTAACGTAGACGGTGCATGCTACGTAACGTGTGGTAAACGTAGACGGTGCATGCTACGTAACATGTGGTTAACGTAGACGGTGCATGCTATGTAACTTGTGGGTAACGTAGACGGTGCATGCTGCGTAACATGTGGTTAACGTAGACGGCGCGTGCTACGTAAGCCGTGGTTAACGTAGACGGTGCATGCTACGTAACATGTGGTTAATGTAGACGGTGCATGCTACGTAAGCCGTGGTTAACGTAGACGGTGCATGCTATGTAACATGTGGTTAATGTAGACGGTGCATGCAACGTAACATGTGGTTAACGTAGACGGTGCATGCTGCGTAAGCCGTGGTTAACATAGCCGGTGCATGCTGCGTAACATGTGGTTAACGTAGACGGTGCATGCAACGTAACATTTGGTTAATGTAGACGGTGCATGCAACGTAACATGTGGTTAACGTAGACGGTGCATGCTGCGTAACATGTGGTTAACGTAGACGGTGCATGCTGTGTAACATGTGGTTAACGTAGACGGTGCATGCTACGTAGACGGTGCATGCTGCGTAACATGTGGTTAACGTAGACGGTGCATGCTGCGTAACATGTGGTTAACGTAGAAGGTGCATGCTACGTAACATGTGGTTAACGTAGACGGTGCATGCTACGTAAGCCGTGGTTAACGTAGACGGTGCATGCTACGTAACATGTGGTTAACGTAGACGGTGCATGCTACGTTACATGTGGTTAACGTAGACGGTGCATGCTACGTAAGCCGTGGTTAACCTAGCCGGTGCATGCTACGTAACATGTGGTTAACGTAGACGGTGCATACTACGTAACATGTGGTTAACGTAGACGGTGCATACTACTTAACCTCAGTACTACTAACTATGGTTGGTATGATGTTATTGTTTAAGCTGAGACAACGATCCGAGCAAAGTAACATGTGTACGTATTTACATTTTCAGAGGAAAGAAATCTTAGGTTGGCATACGAAGAAATAGCTTCAGCATTCCGATTTGATGAACAGGTAACCAACTGCAATGAAATAAATATTGAATTTATTATAACAATGTTTTGATATACTTTGACTGTTAAATGCCCAGAGGGAAATGTAATCTAATTTCGAACCTCATCGAAATATAGAACTACTCAAGTACAGTAAAAGGCAAAGAAAAGCCTAACAACATTGCATAGTTGGAAAAAGAGGAAATTAACACTACAAGGGAAAATTAGAGTTTTGAAAACATTGGCACTATCAACTTAAGTCCATATTTTTTTCTGTTCTGCCATCTTCCCCAAAATAATTTATTAATCAATTGAATCACATTATGTATAACTTCATGTGGAATGGCAAGAAGGATTAAATAAAGAGAACAACTTTATGTAGAAAATATGAAGAAGGTGGACTGAGAATGACAGACATCAGATCCTTTATAAATGCACTAAAGCTGTCGTGCCTTAGAAGACATTTGAATAAAACATTAACTCAAAATCCAAGTTTATTTCCATTCAACAAGATATTTCTTCTTGGTGCACATCTAATGGTTGACAATCCATTTTGGAGTGAGGTTTTAGCTATATGGAGTAACTATACAAACAACAACATGTAGTTAATATTAATCAAGTAGAAGAAATATTGACTGAACCTTTGTGGATGAATCATCAATGTAGAAATAGTAATCTTTATATTAAAAATTGGTTCGATGGAGGTATTCACTTAATAGGAGACATTTGGGGAGAAAGTGTTTTTTTTGTCTTTCAATAAATTAAAAAAAATATCGCATTAAAGGAACTGTTTTGGAGTTCAATAAACGTATTTTGAATGTTCCAAAAACCTGGAAAACCACACTCAAAACCTCTCATTAAACTCAACACTTCAAGATTTGCTTTATAAAAAGAAAGGTGGTAGGAATTACTATGACTAAATGATAGCTTGTAACACTCTCCCCAAGGTGTGTCATAAATGGCAGAAAGAACTCGACAGAAATATTTCATGGAATAATGTTTTTCACGAAATACAGAAATTGTACCAAGGATGTGAAACAGTTAGATTTTCAGTACAGATTTTTTAATAGAGCAATTTACACAAGAAAATAACTATTGCAAATGAGACTTATTGATAGGAATATTTGCTCTTTTTGTCAATCCGAACCAGAAAATCTTCACCATGTGTTTTTAGAATGTACATTTGTACATGAATTCTGGAGACAAGTTGAACATTTTTTTTATCAGTATATCAGTTTTGATATTGCAATCACAGTTTCTGATATTCTCTTTTGCAATAGCTCCTATGGCTTATTGACATCACATATAATCTCATTAGCCAAAACATATATATCCATATCACAAGCATCAAACAAAATATGTTAACAATAGAAGGTTTTAGGAAAACTGTCAAGGATGTTTTTTAATGTTGAAGAAATTATTGCAAAGGAGAATAACGCTTTGCCTTCATTCCATGCAAAGTGGAAACATCTGATCACTGTATTGCAGTCTTAATGTAGTTGTCTCATGTCTTAATTTTGTCTTTTATCAGTACTCATAGTACACAGCTTATATCGGTACTCATAGTACACAGCTTATATCAGTTTGGATGTCCATACATGCTTATTTCACGCACGCTTCAGTACAGTATCCAACCAACAATGTACTGCTGCTATATATTAATTACATAAAGCTGTTATTCATACATAATATATGTATATATTTGTACACACCCAATCTGAATGTACACCACTAAACTGAAATGAATAAAAAGTTAAAAAACAACAACATAAAAAGATTGCATAGTTACTTTTTTTCAACAGAAGAATATTCCCTTTGCCTGTTCAGTAGGATGTGGTACTGCCTTGGTGTACTGTATATTTTGCTTTAGTTCTGTCACAACTTAGTGAGAAAACGTGTCCATGTATCGTGTCTGTATTGCAGGTGATATTCTGCGCCATAGACTCGGATAAATATCCACAACTGAAACGAGAAAGGTTTGTGCATTTACTGTATCTGAAGACTTGAAACTTGAAGTTGTACAATCCTGCTTTGTTCCATTTTTATCAATAGATTCAATCATATTTTATATATTTGAAATTAAAGTTAACCATATGTATCAGTAAAGCTGGTTTACCATCTACGTTGACTCTCATGACTCCAAATAGAACTGTACAGTACATGTCCTGTTTGTGTTCTTGTCACTGTACGTGGTCATTTATCCCCTCGTTAATGATGGTTTGTGTATTTCCAGATTTGGTCACCAGGGAAACCCAGCAGTGTTCTGGTATGAAGCGGATAATAAGCATGATAAATTCCTGGTAGGTTGGTTACACCGTATACCTATACCATATACATATGTTTTACTGAGGTTACACCTTGTACAAGGTGTTTTCACTAGGGTTACACCGTTTACAGGAAGCTTTTAGTTGAGGAACGTTCTACAGGAAGCTACTGGTCTTGTTACACCGTTTACACCGGTTGGAATCATTTATAGGAATCTTCTACTTTGATTACAGCAGTATAAAGGCAGCTTCTTATCTGGTTACACCGCTAAATAAGGACGTTTCTACCTTGGATGAGCTTCTAACAAGGTTACAGCCTTATAACGGAATCTTTGACCCTGACTGCACAGGTGCACAGGAAGCGTCTTAGCTGGTTACATCCGTCTACATGAAGCTTTTGTTCCGACAAGGCCTGTCAACATGAATCTTTTACCCTGGTCATATGACTATTCTGGAAGCTAAATACCTGTCAACATGAATCTTTTACCCTGGTCATATGACTATTCTGGAAGCTAAATACCTGTCAACATGAATCTTTTACCCTGGTCATATGACTATTCTGGAAGCTAAATACCTGTCAACATGAATCTGTTACCCTGGTTACACACTATACAGGCTGCTAAAAGCCTGGTTGCACCTGTGAACTAGATACACTGGTAGAGTAGACTGTATGTGTAAATACATTCAGATTGAATCTGTGTGTTTCAGTATGGCGGCAAGATCCATCCAGAGGCCCTCCTGCTGTTTGTCAACGAGAAGACCAACCTGTGGAGGAAGGAGAACGGGAGGCTGGAACCTCGGGTATGTGGCATACACAGTTATCCCCCCTGTTTACAATTTGTCTTTCCCTGTTTGGATTGTCCGATGTGTCACGTTTTTCTTCTGTGTTATAGCCTTTTGCACACTTGAGATGGACCAATGTCAAACTTCTCAATGGACTTGACATGGTTCGTTGTATAATAATAGTGGTATATTTTGTCAAGTGTAACTATTTTAAATTTTTAAAGGGATTGATGTCGTTAAAACAAGACTTTCATAGTCAACCCAAGCTTAGTATAACGATGTAGAACAGCAGTCAGATATCATGCGAAGATCTTTCTCACGCATTAATGGCCGCATTAATGGTGCAATGGATAGAGCGCCTGTCCTTAAAGGGTCGGGGTTAAATCCCCTGGCTACTTATACAGTAGCTTTAAAACATGGCACTTGTTGTTACCCAGCCTGGCGAGTGGCATCATGTGGGAAAACAAGGCCCTCTCTGCTCGTAGTCAGTAAACTGTTTCTTAGTGGGACATCCATATTTAACTGCAATATTCGGTATCTCAGTCGGCTTGCACTGTATAACTGGATTTAGTCCAAACCGGTACAGTCATCCCGGAATAGAATAAGTCTATTCAGACCTGGTAGTCAGACATCACTTAATGAATTAATATAAATTATTGTTTAGATCATATCTACAGGCCGTCTTTCTATAGCGTTGATACTGTTAGCTGGAATGTTAAACATGAATAAACAAATAAATCCCGAACAAACTGAAGGATTTGAAGAACGAAGTAAGTCGGAAATATATTGGGATGGATGTCTTCTTACTTCTGTTTAATGGCTCCTCCATGACTTTTCCAACGTTAGATTTAAACGATCACATATGAGAGTGATGGTTTGTATGTTTCAGTCTGGTCGTATCGAGAAGCTTGACGACATATTCACGAAGTATGTCCCGCAAATAAAAGATATGAAAATACCTAAAATGGTGAGTATAAACCACTGAGAACTGGTTCATGTCAGTATAACCTCTTGTGACAACTCACGCACTGCACGAGGCGAATCTAACGAGGAGCACGACCAAACGCAAACTTCTCAAAATGGCCGATCAAAAGACAGTGTGACGTCATTGGGGTTGATTCGAGTGGGGCACTGTAGATGACTATGAATAAACAAATATGCTAACAACATTGGCGAAGCACGTGAATAGAGTAACTGACACCGCATGTTTTCTTTGCGAAGAAACTGGAAAAAATAATATGTGACTACTGGCTTACAGTTGCAGTCATGGGACATAAGTATTCGTCAGTCGGCAAAATTCTCATAGACTTGCATGTTATTTTAGTGTAGCTGTAATAATTTTCATTAATTCAGTTATCGTTATTTGGTTGTCACATTTTGCAGGTTGTTAGGAAATCATCTTGGTCACAGATGCATAATTTCCATGTAATGTTCCTTCAAGTATTTTCCGCATTGTAGTTACATGAGCAACATGTATACAACATTGTGTATTCTTTCACCATAGACCGCCATGTTAAAAATTGCCATAACCACAATCAAAGTGTGGTCATTCTTGAAATACTGAATTAAAAATAAAACGGAAATTAGGTCTTTGCAGCTGAGATGATTCATGATACATGTGCAAAATATGAACAAGATCAAACGACAAATATATTCAAGATAATTTTTCTAGCTGCACCAAATTAACATGTAAGTCTATGGAAATTATGCACAGTGACGAATACTTATGTCCAATGACTGTACATAGTTCAAGGTAAACACACTGAGTGAATGATGTCTGATGCCGATATGAGTAATAGACCAATCGTACCACGACGCCTGGACTAGGCGGACAGGTGACTGAAACCATGTACACCAATTTACGCTGTCCGGCAGGTGATTCAGCAAGGTCACCATCCGGGCCTCCTTACGACGGGTATGAGTGAAGGAGTGAGTTTGGTAGTACGCCGCTTTCAGCAATATTCCAGCAATATCACAGCGACGGACACCGCATATTGGCTTCACACGTTGTACCCATGTGGGGAATCGAACCTGGGTCTTCGGAGTGACATGTACAAGCGAACACTTTAACCACTAGGCAACTCCACGGGTATGGGGAAGATCGGCCTGCACGACGCTAGGCGTCGTCACTACGCTGGGTGTCTCTCAGATATCAAATGAAAACCTGCAGTATAACTTAAATATTGTGCAAACCGTTAAACCGATGTTACTCACACACTCATTTCTTACATCGATTTATCCTCTTAAATGACTTTATTTCAATGAGTTTGTCCGATCCTTACTGGTATATTATTTTCTCAGAGGCAGGCTCTATCTGAACTGGCGGGAGCGGACCTGCGACATCCCTGGGAGGCTGAGTAAGTCTATGCTGTATTACCTCACTGTGACTGGTCATTAATTCGCCCCGGGGAGAGGAAGGCTAGGGGTCGAGCACCGTCTACAACAACACGTTAAATGATCATATTTGTTGATCACACAAAGTTATTTCGCACAAAGCGATCTGCAGGGCTCCAGATAAGGGCCGTATCGGCGTATGTACGCATAGAAAATTTCCACGATACGGTAGGAAATAATTTATAAAACGTAGCAGATGCGCACCACGGCAATGGTGTACGGTCTTAGAATCATTTACAGACGTATTTATCTGAAAAGTATTGTTTTATTGTATATTGACCTGTTTACACAAGACTAGCAATGTTGTGGTGCATATATAAAACGAAACACAAGATTACTGATACTCCATTAAATTCCATTCAGTAGTCTAAATGTAGGCTTAAGGTTTTCGAGTACTCCTAAATTGAAAAAATAAGGAGTACGTACTCCTGGTGTTCAAAAATTATCTGGAGCCCTGCGATCTTAAGACTTAATCTCGTGTTGATTAATGATAGTCGTTGTGCGCATGGGTGGTAAACACAGGTGAGATGTTGAGCCCTGTGCATGTATCCTCACTCCTTGAAATAAGTCGCGGCACGGCATAGTTGAAAAAAGAATTATAGCGGCCATAAATGTCCGAGTCCCGTACCACGAGCCTTCTGGACACATATCCATGTTGTATTTTCTGTGATATGAACCACTAACGTTCCTCTCTCGGCGGACCGCCTCCGTGTTGCAGTGGTTAGAGCGTATGTCTGGAGAGCGGAAGGTCGCGGGTTCGATGCCCGACCGCGTCATACCAAAAGACGTTAAATATAGTACTTGTTGGTCCCTGCCTGGCGCTCAGCATTAATGGGTACAACATGGACTGGTCGGCTCGGAATCAGTATAATGTGTCTGAGTGGGGTTGTCATGCTTCACTGCGGCATGGTATCTCAGTTGGCTGGCACTATAAAATCAGCTTAAGCTGCACATACACACGCATGCACGTCGTCATATGAGCGAAATATTCATGTTAAACCAAATTTCACCTCACCTCAACTCTCTCGGGGAAAACCTTATCCACTACACCACGTTCATTATTTTATCGTTGGAGTGTGTATTCATCTCTCTGTTAACAATACTTATGATATTACTCTAGTTGCTATTGTATAGTCCATACTTCAATTGTAATTAGCTGCAGATGAGACAATGCACTTAGTAGATAAAGTCCCGCCAAAGAGTGGTATTGGCACCTGAAACGTACTGCTTATGCTGACAACGACCTGGTATGCATGGCAACCACTTTTCCTCAACTGCGTCTCTGCCCGCCATCAACGCATATGTTTACCAGAATTCAAGTACCATATGTCATCGCAAAGCACATAGGTCAGTTCGTTTTGTAAAAGTACCCGTTTCATCCAGGTTTGCCGAGTACTACACCGAGATGATTGAGCGGATGATCGAGACCGGAAGCAACTTCATGCCCATGAATAAAGAGCGCGAAGCCGTTCTTGAAATGGTCAACGATGTCGACGGTAGGTCATGAATGAGTGTGTGAGTGAGTCAGTGAGTGAGTGAGAGTGAGCGAAGATGGGTGAGGGAGTGGGAGGGTGAGTGAGTCAGTGGATACGAGGGTGAGTGAGTGAGTGGATGGTTGAGTGAGTCAGTGGGTAGGAGGCTGAGTGAGTGAGTGGATGGGTGAGTGAGTGAGGCAGTGGGTACCAAGGCGAGTGAGTGAGTGAGTGGATGGATAGGTGGGTGGTTCAGTGGGTACGACCGTGAGTGGATGGGTGAGTGAGTGAGTCAGTGGGTACGAGGGTGAGTGAGTGAACTGTGTTAACGTCACTTTGAACATTATTTAAATTATTTCATTGCGTGTTTGTCTAATGTGGCAACATATTAGATGTTTACACTTTTGTGAATCCGCAGGGTAAGGCATCTGGTCCTCTGCCCCCAGATCTGTTCTAATTACTTGCTATTGTCTCCGTGTAAATGAAAACATGTTCTGTTCAGGCTTGACGCAGAAACAGCGAGATTTCTTCTTAAGGAAAATGAACATCGTCGACTTCATGGTCTCATCGATCAAGAACTACGACCCTACTAAGCATATACCAGTGGGTAAAGTGATCCCCCCTCACTCAGAGAGCAACACGAAACAGCCCCGAGAGGAGTTGTAATGCTAGACCCACAGTGTATATGTGTGAGTAGGCGGAGCTTGGCTGGACATTGAACTACCCAATGTATATGTAAATCATACATGCCTCATGAATATTCATCATCTAGCTTAATGGTTGTTTAGGAATGTAGCAGTGTACAACTTTAACAATGTTAGAGGCCATGATAGTTTGTAGTTATAAGAACTATTTATTTCAATTCAGTGTGCGAAATAGTTTCCGCATTTTGCTAGCCAGTCCGTCTAGCTATGACTGAAAGTTACTAGCCCCCAAAATAATTCACTAGCTCGAAACTTGATAGTAGAAACTATTACAAGAGATCACAAAAATATATGAGAATAAGGTATTGTCAGCATGACACGGGTTTCATCATTAAGCTGCTAATATGCAGAACATTTATCAGGCCATAATCTTGCATGATTTAAAAGTGTATTATAACTTTACAAGTCGGAGAGAGTAATATATTTACAAAATGACCCTATGAAAATTCACAAGCCAGTCGGGCCAGTGACTATGGAGATTTACTGGCCCGATTGGGTTTTTACTAGTCACGGGCTAGCGGGCTAGTGGCTATTTTGCATACTGTTTCAATTACGTTTTTGTACGTAGGATTGGTTAGCAAGGAGGTTTCGTCCTATTGTGTTATCTGCTCCGATTGTAAGCAATTGTACTTAATGCTAAAAATCGCCACAAGGGCGAATATGATGATCTTTAACAGTAAATCCGGATCAAGAAATCAATCAACAGTATTCCGATGTGAAACAAAGCCCACATGGACAAAGCGACAATAACCCTGCGACTAGTACTGTTGTTGGCATGACTTAAGATCACTTTGTGTGTATGGACCCTGTTTCATATCAGAATGAGGTTTCTTCAGGTGAACATGTTCGTTATATTTGCACCGTTGCTTCATTTCTTCAATGTACTTAAACCTTCACCCAGTTCATGTAATGAGTGGATAGTTTCCTTATAGCTGCATGAACATGTGGACGTGTTGAAACGGCGGAAATAAATGTTTCTTTTCATAGATGGTGTGTCTTGTTTAGTCAGATTTAAAACATTTGACATGGGGAAAGGATCGATTATTTAACAGTCGATGTTCAAGAATTGATCTTCAGCAACCCATGCTTCTCGAAAGAGCTCATTTACGGGATCAAGTGGTCAGACTCGCTGACTTGGTTGACACATGTCATTGTATCCAAATTGTATAGATCGATGCTCATATTGTTGATCAATCGATTGTCTGGTACAGACTCGATTATTTACAGACCACCGCCATATAGCTGGAATATTAAATTGCTGAGTGCGGCGTTAAACAACCAAAAAGATCAAGACATGCCATACTTTCTGTGTACTTCAAACACAAAATATCAATAGTATGAAATTCAGCAATTATCTAAATTATAGTTCATAGTTTGAAACATGTCGGATTAAGCTTGTTGTAAGTGTAGAAACCGATCATGCCCACTAGTGCAGAGTGTCAGTTGATCGACCCCACCAACACCCATAGAAGGTCCCATTTGGATACGGATGAAAAAAGGACCCGTGAAAAAATATTGCCATTTGTATCAAACATGGACGTGCTACGTCAGCAATGCTTCAAATCTGAAACTCCCTATATACGCACTGTTCTTTAATAATTCGTTGTAATCAACTCTTAACGCAACAAAAAGATTACGAAACACATTTAGCTCAGAATCATGGCCTCTGGACTGTTTAAACAATAAACATTAAACATTTATCCGGACGATTTGAGTCGTACTGTCCGGTTTAACGGGGGTTCATATGGTGTAATGCCATCCAACAGAGGCGTTTTAGACACACATATACATGTACAACGGACATTCGTTGTAAACTGGCGAGATCAAAGTTTTATTTTTTTGACAGTGTGCCGGATTAGACAGGTGCCGGTGTTGGCAGGTTTCTCTGCACCTTGGGTTTTAAATCCCAGGTTAACCCTTTTTTAACATCTATCCGTCTCTCCGTCGCCCGAAACATTAAGACTTTAAGATTTAATTTATCTCTCTGTACAAAGTACCACACAATAAAGATGCGATTCAGTGGTTTTATTTACAACAAAACACAAACATAGTCATACATGTATAAAATGCAACGTTTGAGCAAAGCGTAATACTGGCTCGGTAGGTCGTGTGACTTTAATACTGTCGGCGAAGGCGTGTGATAAGCTTACAAAGCTAAGTATTAGGTTGACAAATATTAATTGTTATAATACAAAAGTATGTAATTAGCAATGTCCTTTCAAGCAACATACGTTATGCCGATAAACAAAGTCAGTCACAGGTGAGTAGATTAACAGAATATATCAAGACTATACTCAGGTATACGCGTTTTATAAACTGATGTGAAAGACAATGATAAAACTGTTGATAGGGCGTTGATTATTGACTATTAACCTCTTCTGTGTAATACAAGGGTGCAATACAAAAATATTATTTTTCAGAAGTCGTTGAGTAAAATTTGATAATACTGTTCACAGGGCGTTGACTATTGTTCGCTATTGTTTGATACAAGGGAGAAATACAAAATATTATTGTTCAGAAGTGGTTGAGTAAAATTTGATAATACTGTTCACAGGGCGTTGACTATTGTTCACTATTGTTTGATACAAGGGTGAAATACAAAAATAAAATTGTTCACAAGTCGATAAATTAAATTTGATAATACTGATCACAGGGCGTTTACTATTGACTGTTATCCACTCTTGTTGAATGCAAGGTGAAATGCAAAAAATAATATTGTTCAGTAGTCGTTGAATTACATTTGTAATACATAAATTTGTTGTTTAGGGCAGAGTTGCAATACAGTATTAATACTTTACAGAAGGCGTTGAATGAAACATGTGATAATTAATACTGTTATTCAAGAAAGTGGTTCAATACAAAGTAATACCGTTCAGAGAGCGTTGACTTAGAATTGTAATAAATAATACAGTCGTTTAATACTGACGTTCAATACAATACTGTTCCGATAGCGTTGACTTAGAATTGTAATAAATAATACAGTCGTTTAATACTGACGTTCAATACAATACTGTTCACGGGCGTTGGCTTAATACAGTTTTGACTGAATACACAGAAGCATATGATCTCAAATACATAATTTTACCTCAGATAAATACGAAATATTCCAGTACATGATTATCCGTGTACAACGAAAGGAGAGGTGAAAATTGATATTGGCATCGACTTTGAGGCTGTGAATGTATATTATGGTGTAGTTATATCCAGGCATCACGCACCTGATTCCCATGATTTGTAATTGAAACTGTAATCACACGTAATGCACGGTTACCATGGTTACATAAATAAACTACCTTATCAATATAATTTTGATGTAATTCCAGAAATTACTTGGTTTCTTCCAAACAATACGTGTCCCCCCATGGTTAATATCGAAGTAAATAAATTCGTATGACTTAAACCAAACAGTTACAGACTAACAAAAATGGCGTTATAACATTTTTTTTGTTTAAATAAAAAAAGTAAATGATGAATAAATAAATGACATGATGGGCGAAGCGGTAACGGTGTTAACGCCAGGCTTCGGATGCGATGTTCCTGCTGTATTGAGGGTACGTGTCACGGTAGCGGGCGCTGAAACGTAACAAAACAAAATAACCTCAAATCTACTGTCGTGCTTGATTTCTGATTTTTCAGACAATATCCCTGTCATTAAAAAGGACGTTCTCGACTTTCTTGTGATATTTTGCTTAATCAAAATACAGATTCTAGTACTTTTGTTTGGTTGAGTCCCATCCGGGATTCGAACCCACACCCTCAGAGTCAGGCACTTAATCGCCAGCACACAAAATCAGACGCCTAGCCCACCCAATAAAAGTACTAGAATCTGTACTTTACTGAGAAAGTGTAATCCCAAATATAACATGTGTTACATTTGACCACTTTCTAAATGGCATTGTGTATTCACTTCTTGTGATAGCCTGAATATGTAATTATCAGTGTGGATAGATTGGAGTACTGGAATTAACCAAATGTTTGCAGATTTACTTGTCTGAATTATGGCTAACAACTGAGCTGTTAATCGAAAAACCGTTAGTAGTTTTAAATATTTAATAATATGAAACAATAGATTTTGTTGATAGCCTTTACAATGAAATAATCACAATTTTATCACAAAAATTATTGCTTGCTACCCTTGACAAACATTCACCACAACACGTCACCACTGACATCTTCAAGGCGACTGTAAACAAAAGTACTAATGATATTTTATTTATAATATTCTTTTAACTAAAGGCATTTAATGTTCTGTTAGTGTTCTGCTTGTTCCGATAAATGACATCTTCGTCATCGCTGACCCAAAAATATAATCAAAACACGTTTTCAACCCCGATACGAACTCATAACCTCGGAATACAACGCCGATTTAGTCAGCTATGAATTAGAGTTATCTCCCTTGTAATAGTGATCCCTGCCTTCTGCGCTTCTGTGACCACTGAAATAATCCCTCCAAATAGTTCTTACTAAAATATATTTACTCATCTTTCGACTAATGACCAACATGAACCTAATAAAAAAGCAGCACTGAATAAGTCATAAACAAACACAAGCAGTGTGGTCTACTCACAAGACATTCGCTGGCATTGGCCGCTGTCCATACTGATCCATCATTGGTTCTTGCCTCAGTGTGTACTGTAAACGATGTAAACAAATCTCATATACACCAGAGTAATATTAGCCAAAAAAGATATTCATATGTAAAGTAAACTTAAATTTACAAAATGTCATGGTAAGACATGATGATGTTTGTCAAATACATTGATTAGGAAAACAGAGTTTCTGGTAATAATTAATTTTCAGGAGCCCGTGCTTGTCGTAAGAGGCGTCTTACGAGGCACACTAGCCATAGTTCCAAATTCGATTATTTACAGCTGGAATATTGTTGAGTGCGGCGTTAAACAACAAACAAAGAGACAAGGAATAAATATGGAATGAGGGACTCAATATTAAGGAGTCACTCAGAATATTTCAGGTTTGTCACTGTACTTGGTGACCCTGTAGTGTTGACGCTGAGTGCATGAATTTCAGGTAACTCAAGAGTGCTGGCTTTCAGTACAACGTATCGAATGGCGTCATTACTTTGTCGTGAGGGAGTGAGTTTAGTTTTACGCCGCTTTTAACAATATTCCAGCAATATCAAGGCAGGGGACACCAGAAATGGGCCTCACTCATTCTACCCATGTGGGGAATCGAACCCGGGTCGTCGCGTGACGAGCGAACGCTTTAACCACTAGGCTACCCCACCGCCCCTACTTTATCGTGAGTAAGGGGAAGTTGTTTTAGGCCACTCTTAAAGGTATTCAAGCTTAATCAAGGGAATCTATAAAGAGTTCCATCCCCGTGTGCAAAAAAACGCATTATGTCATAAAGCACACATAGAATCTCCAAATCATCATCTTCTTCGAGTTCTATCTCAGTCAGACCAGTGGTTGATAGCATGAAGAAGATAAGAGCCTCCAGGACATTAGGCCCTGGAGTGAGTGAGTGAGTACGGTTTTACGCCGCTTATAGCAATATTCCAGCAATATCACGGCGGGGGGACACCAGAAATGGGCTTCACACATTGCACCCATGTGGGGAATCGAACCCGGGTCTTCAGCATGTCGAGCGGGAGCTTTAACCTTTAGGCTACCCACCGCCCCTTAGGCCCTGGAATCCTAACGGTTTTGGTTTAGCTTAGTCATCTTCGGTGATATGTCTCGGCAGTAAACCCAAGGTTCAAAATAACGTGATTATAGCAGGATGCATGGTGTAAACTCGTACGGCAAGCATCGGTTGGGGTTCAACTTCCCACAGCTATCACGTGATCAATAGTCAAGGGAAATAACTCTTCCGTTCATCAACGGTAGACATCATTGGGAACCTACCCTCCATGACCTTGTGACCTCAGGGCGAAGGTACCGCACAGCATATCCCATGAAATGGAGGTCTACAGTGAAAGAAAATATGAAACAAATGAATAAATATTCAACTATAATTCACGATTGCGAGTTTTCGGTTTATTTATTTAACAGGTTGTTCTTCAAATATATACGTGTTGACAATATTGAAGAATGACTGTATAAGAGTATGTGTATCTATATATATTTTGCCTTACATTGAAGCATGCGTGTATTCCAGTCAATTCCAGGATCATATTATTCATTGAATGACTCGTGTGAATTCGTTCCAGGAATGTCATTGAATCCTTCACGTGAATTCGTTCCAGGAATGTCCAGAGTGATTAATTAATTCGTTAATTAGGAACCACAGCTGTCCGGTTGATTACATATAGCAACACTTATACTAATGCAATATTTCATAACTCCAATGATTCGGGGTTTTCTATACGTGTTAGGTACAACATATTCAATCGGATTAACGGGTTTTCGCTATATACGGTTTACAGTAATACCTTTGTTTGCCGGGAGCTCTGGAAGCTGGATATCATAGCGTTCTGGAGACTTGTTGAGAAAGTCCGACCATTGTTGGCGGGTTTTCCTGTGAATGTAAATACATGACGATAGTATTGATAGTTAAAGTAATTCAATTCGAGGTAAATCACTCCAGTGGTGGTGGTGGTGGAATTGGGTTTAACGTCGTGCTTGAGAATATTTCGCTCATATGACGACGTGCATGCGTGTGTATGTGTATGAGCGGCTGCTTGTACTAGCCCAGACTTAAGCTGGTTTTATAGTGCTAGCCCACTGAGATACCATGCCGCAGTAAAGCATGAATACCCCACTCAGACACATTATACTGACTCCGAGCTGACCAGTCCTTGTTGTACCCATTAATGCCGAGCGCCAGACAGGGACCAACAAGTACCATATTTTAACGTCTTTTGGTATGACGCCGTCGGGGATCGAACCCGCGACCTTCCGCACTCCGGGCGGACGCTCTAACCACTACACCACGGAGGCGGTCAAATCACTCCAGTAAGAAATCTACTGTAAAACATTGTTCAAAAACTCATTGCGAGTGTCAGTTTGAAGGAGTTCAGCCATAACAAAACCAGTGCTGAATGGTTGCGTTGACATCCCATCGACAGTCACCAAGCGTGATCATCCCATCCATTAAGGGTTTATTGGGCATCATTTCTAGCCAAGAAAACCTAAAATATTTAAAGCAATGCTAAAAAATAATTATTACAAAAGTACGCTTCTTCTTTTAGCTTCTAATTACATATTAGGCACAGTTCTCTGCATATCTATATATTCATCTCGTATATGTACTGATAAACTTGAATTGTGTTGATCTCTGTGTGTCCAACATTACAAAAGAAAACCCGCATCATTTCGTGGCAATAAAATGATAGTTCAATTTTCCCTTGTATTTTTAACGCTGCAATCAGCAAGAATATTTTAAGCCTCATGTAAACTGAAGACAGAGTGTATCACGAAATTCAGATTAGTGCGGCTTCAGTTAAAGACGTTTACAGCCATGACAACGTAACGAGTTCTTAAAGACCTTTGTCAGAATAAGTAACTTCGTCCTCGATTCTTGAACCTTTATATCAAAACCACTTACGTGCGACTATGAGTATTCGACTATTTGAGATTGTGAAACGAATAAACACATTGTATTAACTTCAATCTTTGCACAAAATCAAATATAAATTCACGCACCCACGTAGTTCACGTGATGTGTGCGTGGAGTCAATCTGTGTTGTATAATATTTAGGAAGCACGTTAAAAGTTCGATGTCGGAAAAATATTAATTCCTTCAGTTGTATTGTATAATGAAATTCAACTCAAACATAACGCACCCAATTAACTCAACTACCGCTCATTTTGTATTTGTCCACGTGCCTCTTAAAAGCGCTTTCTCAAATAGGACTCGTAATATACAAAGAATTAATTTCAGGGCACGTTGACCCAACAAAAGTAAAAAGTCTTATCTCAGCGCAAAGGCAAATCGATCACATCATACGTCGCGTGTCGTGGGCCAACATTTAATCAATACATACCTTGACAATCGGTTGATCACAGCCAACAACTGCCAGAGCTGCTATCTGACTTTTCACTGAACTGAACCAAGGTTCACCAGTTACATCGGAACGAAGCAATAATGGACTTCAAAGACTATGATAATTAGTCATTTTATATAAAAATTCAATGGGTGTCACAATAGGGCCAAGTTATCTCCCCTGGCCCGAATCGTTTATTATCGCAAAACCTCATTGTGTGTATTGACACGAATGGCGTGAGGTGGGGTGCAGGGGTGTATTATGTACATTTGTGGTACCAGGTAACTTCATGGCTTTGTGGTGTGGTGTATTATGTACGTATTAACGTCTCATGTCGGGTATTGTTGTCGGTGTACGCTGCGCGGGGTGACGTTAAATAGCAACGTGGGTATCAAAATCACCGCCCGTGAAATAACATGCGTTATTAATGAACACTGCGGAGAGCAGTCTGTTATTACACATACTGAACAGCCTTAGTTTGCTTGTATACCGATCCTTGGATTCAGCTGTATAGAGAGTGAGTTTAGTTTTACGCCGCTTTTAGCAATATTCCAGTAATATCACGTCGGGGAACACCAGAAATGGGCTTCACACATTGTGGAGAATCGAACCCGGGTTTTCGGCGTGACGAGTGTACGCTTAATCTTCCCGCTATCGCATTGTCGTCGCAGCTGTCATTTATCGGAAGATCCATACCCAGTTATGGCGAGTATAACTATATACGTTATAAAATGCAGTTTTACTGTCCCTTCAATACTCAAACTGTATGGGAGATCACAAAGAAAACATGACGAATTCGACAAGGAAATTTGTAGAACAATCCGTACTGTGACGTCAGATATTGCGTCACAATCAGCGTTGTGACGTCACAATAGCTGTCCGCAGCTTAGGACATGACCTTGTTAGATCTTTCAGATAGCTCAAGCCTTGTCATATCTGCGTACGGAGTAACTGTGTTGCTAAAGGATTATGGTGTAATCTTTTTTTTTTATGTATGTACATGGGTTGAATTATAGTCACTGGACGCATTGCTTTACTCGTAATCTCGTCTAACTCTACAGTTTTTCAGCATTCAGCTTTGGTAATTTTCACTTCACTTGACTCACGTTAATTCCTCTGGTGTTGTGTAGTATCTGTGGAGCTCGCGACCTGTGTCCGTGACATTCTGGAACAAACATAATTACTATTATTACTATCATTTACCACTCTTATTCAGGAACTCATATGTGCTCAAAAGTAGGTTATTTGTTCCACGACCAGTGGATCCGAATAATGTCTAATCATCATTCCCAACTCCCTGGGGAGTATAAGATACCCAGGGGCGGTATCTATTCTCAGTTGTGACATCACAACAACAAATATTACAAACACAAAACAAAACATACACACAAAAATCAACCATTACAAATAATTATGTTGTACCTATGGTAAACCGAATAGAGTGTATTTCTGACAATACTGTTCTCAAATACTGCTCCATCGATTACACTGTGAACGCACACAAACATTTTGATGTGAAAACACGTGAGGGTAGGGGATCCACTGTCCTGTTATGTTCTGATTTCAGACAATACCGTTTTCTCGTCAAAGCTGAAAACAGTCGGAAAGATGGAAGCCTCCCTTTTTGCCCCCACAACACGTTATGTTTCAAAAGATCCATCATGATTGTCCAGAGAACAATATTTATTTCAAAACACAGCTGGGTCAAATTACATATTTCCAACATTTTCATCAAGAGAAGGACCCTTGATCAAAATATCTAAAGCTCGGCCCCTAACACAACATGACTCATATGGATGTATTTGTCTATTTAAGAAAAACATTACATTCAAACAGTACACTGCACATTGGCATTCTAATCATAAATCCCTGGAGGTCGATCTAAGTATGTAAATGTATTAAGTTTCAATCCCGGAATACAACAGATCGATAATATACGTAATGGCTGTATCGATTACTATCTTTGACAGGTAAACAGCCAGGTACTAGGTCGTGAGTAACCAGAGACCAGATAACAAGGTACGCATCTAGCTCACATACTCGGCATAGATCGGCGTGGATCGGGAGCTGACGGAACTACAAGTGGTGTGTTAGCGAGTATCAGACACCGATACGACCTGAACAATCAGTCTGCTCACCATAGACTGGTGATCGTGATAGTGGTTTCAGTTACAATGCCAGATGAACTGATCTATGATCCTGGGTTTACCTGGCGAACAGATCGGCTGCAGCTGATCTACCACTGAAACGTTTAACCCGCTGTGTAACGAACGAACACATCGGCTTCGTGTACGTCAATACAAGTTAACCACATTGTTACCTGAAGGTCAGGGCCCCGTTTCACAAAGCTCTCCTAAGCCTAAGATCTCGTAACACCTACGATATATCTTACGACACCACGCTAAGGGCGTTTCACGAAAGTATCTTAGTACTTACGGTAACTTTTAGCTATCGTATTGCGAACTCTTTTGCTGAGAAGACTTGAAAAGAAAATGGATTGCGAGTTACGTCCCTTTGTGTAAACAGACGACAACCCGCCGTACAATAAAGGACAAAATCTGAATGAAATCCCATATTCACCTTACGAGCGGGTTGGCAAAATGAACAACTATGCAAGGTTTGAATAGTTAAACATACACCCCCAATTTGGCGAGCAGATATACCACAATACAAATTAACCCTGTGTTTTCCTGACCTACACAGAATGGACAAGTGTAACATAACTAAAATTAACACTAATATGTTTATGACGAGTAGGTGTCCAAGGCTCTATATATACGGCCACATCATATTTGACGTAATCACCATGTTACCTGTCGGGGACATACGCTACCTCTGTAACTACACAAGGTAAGGTGTGTGAGAAGGGGTGGGTGTAAAAAGATGTCAGGCTGAATATTACGGATTTAAGTTAGACTGTAATGATAAGAAAGTGTGAGGTTCACAAAAAATGTTGAAAGTATAACACTGTCTCTTTATTCGTACACTTCTGTGCATGGTTGGATTATCTAGTGAACTAGTTGATCTACCTAAAAAAATCCCTTTGTCACAGACAACAATCGTAAATGGTAATTTTGGAAGATTTGTTAGTTAATGAATTTATAACAGGTATAATTAGTGGTAACACACTTAGATTACCCGGACAAAGGTTCCCATTTGGCATTTCTTGTGTCTGGAGTAAATATTCAACATTATAAACATCGATCAAAGGATTAACCGATAACACGCTGATTGATTAATTACTTTTATCTTACACAGCGGAATTGTCAAAGGTAGTGTTTATGTATGTAGATTTACTAATCTATACTGAATACACTCTGTCGTGTCGGTGTCTGCGTAAAACAACGTCCTTCTTTCAAAGGATTAACCAGCAATACATTGATTGATTGACCATTATTGGCTAACTAAATTACTGTTTTTAAAGAAAGGCGGACATTGTGCAATTAGTTGCCAGGTGTGCTATCTTTGGTGACCAATGAGACTATACACCAATACCTGAAAAGATTTATCACTTTTTTTTTCGTATATTAAACTGTTAAAAAGACACATCATTTGGAACAGCTTTTGTGGATATTGATGGATACATTCCTCGAACAAGGTAATGGCCTGATATTGTTCCTATAACTTTAATCTGTTTTAATTTTAATATTTGCATTTTGTTTTTATTCATTTGTTGTAGCATTCAACAGAATCATTGTTTTCGCCGTGAAGTGTAATGAGACAGACAACATACACTAGGGTGTGTGTGCGAATTATGATTCACATTGGCAAACTATAAAATGTCTAGATATTACAGTTCTGTTATAAATTCACTATAAGTATCAGCAGATCGTCTGCTTTTTATTTAGTTTCAACATGCATACAAGTATGTAATAAACTAATTAGGATTATAAGACCAAATATAAAGACGCCCATTGACTAGTATCTACATACTGGTGAGTGGACATTAACCATGTGAATGTAGCAGGAAATTTATCTCGCAGTATTGTGACTTTCGACCCCTTCACCTCGCCTCCGTGGAAGAAATCGTTATGTTACAAGTTGTGTCATGCAAAATCCGTTTGGTTAAGATTCCAATACATATTTAATCTGACGAGTAGAGAAAGTAGTTTTGATTTTCTAACTTGATGAAACAAACTATAATCTCATCAATTCTAACAGACTTTACGATTTTTCAAAAATGGCGGCGCCTCTATCGGGAACATCCGCCAGTCTGAGGATAAATGCTATTTAGGTATGTTTTCACCGAGTTATAAAATCAAAACTACTTTCTATTGTAGTAAAAATATATATTTTATTGATGGCCAGCCAGGGATTTTGCATGATTATAGCGTATAACATAACAATTTCTCTCCTGGCAGTGAGGTGGGTGTCAATATAATACTACTTTACAATATTATTGTTACTTCGACCACAACCTCACTTCCGAGGAAGAAATCGTTATGTTACAAGTTGTGTCATGGAAAATCTTTTATGGTCATCAATCATATACATATTTTACAACAACTATTAAGTAGTTTTGATTCTTTTAATTCCGTGAAGCGATCTGGAACACAAGTAAAGATATCGTTTTGTAGCTTCCACAACGCTCGCTTCTTAAAATCTGTTTGAAATGTGTCCACCTTTTTCCAAAATAGATTTAGCAGCTCTTTAAGGAACATACCAATCAGCTCATTCGTGGTTCCTAATCTAGTAAAAATAAATAAATGAACTATTAATAATCATAAGCCACGCAGTGAAGAAAATAATATTTGAATATACTTTGATATTGTGTGACCCTATGATATTGCAGCGTTCGAAATATCTCCCTGCCCGACCGCCCGGGACGGGATATTTTCAACACGAACTGCCAGATTTTCAATTCACCTGTCCGACGGTCGGGTTAAAATTTAAACCTTCTTATTAGTATTTTTTGTGGGCAGTTAAGTTTTGGTCAGGGCTAGCAAGTTTTACATCTAACCAGCCCTGTGGGATGGCTGAAATGTTTGGGAGTTTCATACCCTGCAATAATTGACACCCACTTACCATGCTGGACATACGCTGCTTGGGAGGCTGGAACAGTGTGGTGGTCGCTCGCCTGAAGTCCACTGGAATGTAATGAATGAAAAGATAAAACTTGGACTTTGCTGTAGTTAGAACTGTAGGAATTAGGAAGCAATCGGCGAGAGAGTCAAAAGAAGTCCGCAAAATGTTGAACCGGGATCGAACCAGTCTCGATCGTATCTTGAGTCTAGATCACATTCAAATGCGAGGCAAGACAACTCTTGAAAACGTTTTCAACGAGAGTAGCTCCCCTTGATTAAAAAAATGGCTGCTGGTGTGAACACGCTAGGTGTTATTTTGTTTTTACGAGGAAACAAAGACAAGGGATATAATTTGATATCAACGTGTTATCGCAAAACTGGACTTTCCTCAAGGTAGGAACAGAGTTAAACAAGATGTCGAATATGTTACTGTTTATCGCATTGTGCCGACCAGTACAGGCCAGAATACTATTATAATTTTTCAAAATATCAATATTGATCATCCGGGAGAGACAGGAGTCTAGGCTCACAACGTGCTACCCTCACCGCGAACTAAATAATTTAGAAGTCTATTTAGTTTTATGACCATGAAAAACTACATCAAATTTTAGTGGCCTTAATAATGTTTTTGTTGTTTTTTCATGAATACTCTACTGCAGTTCTATGAAACTAAAACTCCATAAATCAGGACATTGCTTAGTGGAATGAGTAAGTTAACTTTGTGTAGTTTGATTTTAGATTTACACTGCCGGGATATTGTTGATTCATGCGTGGGCCAGGTGTTTGTGACGGATCAGTTCAAATCCTAAGTGCAAGATAAGCTAATCGCCGGGGCTTTTTTTTACTCGATCTAGTTGTTGCGAAGATTAACACACTGACCTAACCAATACCCCTCGTTTAGCTCTCAGTGTTAAGCCCTGTTAGATAAGTACCAGTTGAACTGAAATTATCGATCTACCCAAATCGATTCTGGATAGTCTTTCACCGTAGAGGTTACCCAACACACAAGTATGTCATTTACAGAACAGCCTGGTTGATTTTGAAAGCACGAACTAAAGAAATAGTCATTCCTTATAATATGACACAGATACCCTACGTCGACAAAGATTTGGATGTAAACAATTTGTGGTTGTAAATATCTCACAGTAATCACCTTTTCGATGTAGCTATTGATAAGTTATTGTCAAAGGTTTTTCTACAGCTGCTATTGCTGACTCCGCATTTGTTTTACACTGCGTACCGGATCGTTGCCAGTTGCATCAATTATTCAGAGACGATGAAACTTTTATGATCACACTATGTTTTCAGAACGTACGATGGTTTATAACATCAAGTTAACCTTTGTCATTCTTGCTGTATTTTCAGTCTATTTTGCCGGTACCTATGTTTATGCATTTTATGGTCTATTAAATATTTGTTAGCAGTAGATTAATTATTTTTTTCCAAAGGGGTATGTTGACGTATCCAAGGGAATGACCGACATATCCATAAGGCCTCCTTGGTAAAGGAATTCGACAATTTACTCTGTTGTATATGATCACCAGCTGATCAGGTTAAATCTACTATTTACATGTTAATCAAATTATACTGTAAAAACATTGGGTAATTCAAGGGAAAAAAATCAAGATTAATGTATTCTGTTATTTCGTTTACCATCTAGTCTGTCTACAAACAAGGTCACTTGGCCAGATTATAATCCGATTTGTCGACGGTCCTGCTTGAGGCTTATCGGTAATCCAGGATATCAGGGGATTAGCTGTGATAATCATATTCGTTCTCACACAAAGCACTTTACAGGTATTGTTGCTGTTGAGCTTGGATATCTTGTAACATTGTTATTAACATGTGTTCAGTATTTGCCTGCCATTGAAGGATCTTGTACTTAACAACGCACAGTCAAAAATGGAGAAAGGAAAAAACAAAGTTCAGTGGTCTCTGACTGAAATCGTAGCATTACGTAGATGTTGCATACAAGTATAGAACTCTAAAATGTATGAAATGGTTTTCTGATTTATTTTTTGAAGTCCGAAACATGACCATGGATTTGTAAAGGTATATAAACACACACATGCAATTTCCACTATTCGTTGGCATGCTTTGAACATTTATCTGCTGGTAGGTTTAGTGTCATGTTTAATTCTATTTACATGTGTGTTCATGGTTAATATGAACCTGAGTGAGTAAATTAAGGTTTACGCCGCTTTTCGCAATGTTTCAGCAATATCACGGCTGGGGACACCAGAAATGGGCTTCACGCATTGTACTCATGTGGGGAATCGAACCCGGCGTGACGAGTGGACGCTTTAACCTCTAGGCTACCCCACCGCCCCTAATGTGAACCTGAACAAACATATATGCCATGTGGATGATAGTCGTGTGGGACATGGTCTCACCTGGACCACTGCTTGTCGTTGTCCTGCAGTGTTCATCCGGGAGTTTATGTCCAGCCGTGTCCATGTCCATACGGCGAAAGGTCGGGAGGTTTGGGTGGAACAAGCCTTCCTTCACAGCGGCCAGCTGGACCTTCCTCAGGGACGGGTAGTTGTAGGAGTAGCTGGGCATCTTCATCGGACACGACCCTCTCGGCAGTTTTAGTATCAACGTTCACCGTCGTCATCGTGCACGTCGACAAATATGTTGCCAAAAGATACGCTTCTTAGTGACAGAAATAATGAAATAGGTAATGCGAATACCCTTTATGTGCACAACTTAATACCTTATAGCCAACACGAGAGGCCTCTCCAAGTCTACTCTGTCCCCTCTTACCGGTTGCGCGACAATGACGCTCTTACCTTTACCTCCGCATAGACCAGTAAAGAGACAGAACGTTGCCCCTGGCAACGATCAACAAAGGCTTCCGTCACGCGCCGCGGCCTACCGGAAATAACCCGGCGTGTTGAGGGGCATTTATCATTGATAACATTTGTCGCTATTACTGATACAAATGTGTTACACGAAGACGATTAGGAAATGTTATCCTTCAGAATGTTGGCTCTAATGTGTCTCATATGATCTAATGGCAAACACTTTTTACATAAACTATACAAAGCGAAAAAGGACGGACATTTTTATAATTATAACCGCGGCCACAGCTGTTCATTTGTTTTGTTCATCCATGAATGCTTTCAGGGTTGCTTCTAATACTTTTGATAATTTTCAATTGAAAAAATATAATATGTCCTGAGCTCAGTGAGGCTCTTTCGAGATATTGTTTAAAGATATTTTTTTTAAATTCTGAAATCGGGGCGTTGGGGTGGCATAGTGGTTAAAGCGTTGGCTCGTCACGCCCCGGGTTCGATTCCCCACATGGGTATATTGGTGAAGCCCATTTCTATGTGTCCCCCACCGTGATATTGCTGGAATATTGCTAAAAGCGATGTAAAACTAAACTCACTCACTCACTTATTCTGAAACATCAGGACAATGCTTAATTTCCAGTTTTACCCAGACAGAAATGTTAATATGAAAATATAAAACAAATTCATCAGCGCCTACAAGAGCCATTTCTCTCTTCATGATCACAAATACACTTCTCATAATGTACTGCCATTTTAGAAATAATGAACGCATTAAAAAGATACTGAGAGAAGTGGATTAAATTGACGTCCAATGAGGTCAGGATGTTGTCAGACTTTTACATCGATTCATTTTCAAGGATATTAGCTTGATGATATTCAAAATATCCTGAGGGGCGGTGGGGTAGCCTAGTGGTTAAAGCGTTGGCTCGTCACGCCGAAGACCCGGGTTCGATTCCCCACATGGGCACAATGTGTTAAGCCCATTTCTGGTGTCCCCCGCCGTGATATTGCTGGTATATTGCTAAAAGCGGCGTCAAACTAAACTCAGTCAGTCAGTCAAAATATCCTGAAATTGTTTTTAATCAAATTTGCTCACGATGTAATTTTAAGATGATGATGATTTGGAGATTTTACGTGCGCTTTCCGACTTGAGTATTTCGCAGTACAGAGGGCCTACACAGAGATGATTTTTTTAATCTAAAGGCAGGATTACGAATTAAGTAACTTTATTCTCAAATATTTACACCCGTGACTTCAAATCGATTGTCGTAAGTCCCGAAACATTCAAAGGAAATTTAAATATTACCAGCTGTTTTAAATGTAGTATTCTTGTCATTTTAATTTTTGCTAAATTTGTCTTCAATCGCCAGCGGCTGAAAGGGGTGATATAAATCCAACTAGGGTCCATGCAGGTAGCAAAAGTACTGTAAGTCCCCATGGTCCCTAGTATGGTGATCTACCTTCAGTTGTTGGCGATCTATAGCCAGTTTTTATATTGTATTATCCAAATAGTGCTATTAGTTTCAATTTTCCACACTAGTTTTAGTTGTAATTGTGATATTCTAATTGTTTTACTGTCCTTCGTCGACAGGTTTTATAATATACATCTATTCCATTTCAATGTCACATATGTTCTCGTCACGATATGGCTGAAATATTGCCGATGTGACTTTAAATAATAACTCACTCACTCACTCAAATCGATTGTAGTAATGTCATAAAAGGTATGTATCAGAATATATTTAAACAGAAATCAGGCTTCTTTACTCTTTCAAACTGATGACATTCGCATGCATCTTCGGCTGCGAAGTTTAGGCAAGAAAAGTGTGCAAAATTTACGCTGGTCCTGTGGTCCCTGGCTAGTAAAACTTCATCAGGACCACTAAATGATAAGTTTGCAGTGGTCCTGGTGGCCAGTGAATTATATATTGATAGTTAAAGGCCACATGCAACCAAAACACCAACATAATTAAAACACAATTATCACTTAGTCATGACATATAGTATACATTACTGATTATGAAAAAAACCAAATAAACAAATTTAAAAGCGTACAATCGCAAATCAAAAGTGCAATATTTTGTACCTGGGTTTACCTCCCTCGAAACGAAGCACACGGGATACCGAACCCAGTCAGAGCGGGTGGGGCTGAATTGAGGTGAAATTGGGTTTAACGTCGTGCTTGAGAATATTTCGCTCATATGACGACGTGCATGCGTGTGTGTGTGTATGTGCGGCTGCTTGTACTAGCCCAGACTGAAGCTGGTTTTATAGTGCTAGCCCACTGAGATACCACGCCGCAGTGAAGTATGGATACCCCACTCAGACACATTATACTGACTCCGAGCCGACCAGTCCTTGTTGTACCCATTAATGCCGAGCGACAGGCAGGGACCAACAAGTACCATATTTTAACGTCTTTTTGTATGACGCGGTCGGGGATCGAACCCGCGACCTTCCGCTCTCCGGGCGGACGCTCTAACCACTTCACCACGGAGGCGGTCCCGAGCGCCATTAGACACTATGAAACATAGGTGTAGACTTTCTGTTGCCAGGCAATTTGTTAGTGTTTTCCCTCTTTAGTTTGACTTTACATTTGGAGGAAGTAGATTATTATGAAAAATAAACAAAAACAAAACACATTCCCGCTCCCTCTCCTTCACCCTCTAAACCTAGAACTCGTAACTTAACTCACGACTGAAGGTGTCTTTCAGTCACATCTTTTAGCGAAAGCAACAGAGCCTCGTAAACACTCTTCGTCTTACCAGGCAAAAATCGAATTCAGCTTCATCCTTTCTACCGATCATCCGTCCGTCATCTTTGTCCAGAGTGGGATGTTAAGACAAGTCAGACCCGTGAAAATCCGGGTTAGAATTGGTCTTCAGTAACCCATGCTTGTAGTAAGAGCTAACTAACGGGATCGGGTGGTCAGACTCGCAGTCTTGAGTTTTTATTTTATTATGCTAATGTTTGTATAGTTCGATTATCCGGCTCAGCTGCTCAAAAGCGCTTTGTTTTTCCCTCGATCATTGGATGTCAATCTCAGACGGCATATCGTATTATTAATCTCAACTCCCTGGGGACCATACAACCCATGCATTCGCTAGACGCACAGAGTTCATGTGGCTTTCCCATCCTTACGAGGTACCCATTCACAGCTGGGTGGACTGGGACACAAAGTCACAGTACTTTGTCCAAGTTTAGTGCACCTTGCTGTTCCCGCAACTAGGTGTTTGCACGTATTCATGTAGCCACCATCTGGTCAATTAACAACGGATTCGTGGGTTCTTTTAAGTGCATGGGGTTGTGTACTGTACACTAGGGGTTGTGACAACACTAAAAGAGTCTGCAAACAAAGTTAACTCGAAGGTTTTTACACCGGTTACAGGTGGGCTCGATCCCGGCACCTAAAGTTCGCAGGATCACTAGGCTTGCGCCTTAGACAGCTCGCTCGCCCACCACGCACCTCACGTCATCATTTCTCAGTTGCGTAGTTGTTGTTGTTAACCGTTGGATTGTCTGGTCCAGACTCGATTATTTACAGACCGCAGCCATGTAGCTGGAATATAGTCACCATTTGCATATTCTCGGCACGTTTACACTTGTTTTACTTTTAATTATACTCTATACATTGAAACATATTTCCATTCGGCACCTCACTGATATGTGGAGCAGGTTCTTTAAGTATTTCGGTCTCACACAGGTTTTGAATGAAACTTTTCAAGCTTGTAAAACACACTAATGACAGCCATTGACAGGATACACGAAGCACCGTATTACTAGCATTGTGTGATACCCCATAGGGAGGGAGGTGTGATACCCCATAGGGAGGGAGGTGTGATACCCCATAGGGAGGGAGGTGTGATACCCCCATAGGGGAGGGAGGTGTGATACCCCATAGGGAGGAGGTGTGATACCCCATAGGGAGGGAGGTGTGATACCCCATAGGGAGGGAGGTGTGATACCCCATAGGGAGGGAGTGTGATACCCCATAGGGAGGGAGGTGTGATACCCCATATAGGAGGGAGGTGTGATACCCCATAGGGAGGGAGGTGTGATACCCCATAGGGAGGGAGGTGTGATACCCCATAGGGAGGGAGGTGTGATACCCCATAGGGAGGGAGGTGTGATACCCCATATAGGGAGGGGAGGTGTGATACCCCATAGGGAGGGAGGTGTGATACCCCATAGGGAGGAGGTGTGATACCCATAGGGATAGTGTGATACTCCCATAGGGAGGAGGTGTGATACCCCATAGGGAGGGAGGTGTGATACCCCATAGGGAGGGAGGTGGATACCCATAGGGGGAGGTGTGATACCCCATAGGGAGGGAGGTGTGATACCCCATAGGGGAGGGTGTGATACCCATAGGGAGGGAGGTGTGGGAGGTGTGATACCCCATAGGGAGGGAGGGAGGAAATGGAGAACCTGCTAATGACAAAGGCCATTAGATGCATGGGTCCTGTTCCAACATTGCAGTCACTTACTTCATCCAGGTAGACGATGAATATGTGCTTGTGTAACACGCCACACACAGTTAGCTATTTGAAACATCTCGTTTGACTTGTTACACATATTATTCGAAGAACCGTTATAAATGAACCCAGTAATTGTACTGTGTACAGTGAGTGAGTGAGTTTGGTTTTACGCCGCACTCAGCCATATTCCAGCTATATGGCGGCGGTCTGGAAATAATCGAGTCTGGACCAGAAAATCCAGTGATCAACAGCATGAGCATCGTTCCAAGCAATTGGGATACGATGTCATGTGTCCACCAAGTCAGCGAGCCTGACCACCCGACCCCGTTAGTCGCCTCTTACTACAAGCATGGGTTACTGAAGATCAATTCTAACTCGGATCTTCACTGGGTTTTGTATACAGCACAGCTCTGAATCGATAAAGAGTGCATTATACTGTCCGAATATGTGACGTCACTGATGTATGTATACACACTTAACAAAGACACCTTCTAAGGCTCGGTTCGATTTCGAAAAACAACCCATGTAAGACTAATTCCCATGTC